TCTTTCATGCCATTAAGCACAAACTTATCAGGTCTGCTCGGTATATTGTTGCAAACTGTTGTGTCCGAAGATTCAGACAACCAAGTCGATGCCCAATGATATTGTGGACACAATGAAATTACGAAACACCGATTTAAGTGTATGTCGAGGTGATTATAAACGTACGGTCGTCCCAGCTAACCAGAAACAAGGACAAGCCTGGTCCAGTGAATGCTAACAGTTGATAAATTATGACACCAAAGCAATTGCATTGGTGTGTCAACTTGGACGCCACACAAACGTCTTCTTAAACACTGTTAAAGCCGTAGTAGGTGAAATACTACGATCAGCCCCTCGTCTGGATATAGTTCACTTTGTCGAGAAATAACACCGTCTATATCGTGCTTTTACAAATGTTGCATTTTCTATATGCGTCGTACGTTAGCGTTGAAAATCCCTCCAGCCTTAAGTATGAGGTTCAGAAGTTGGAAACTTGTCTCATCTACATACTACCCATGTCTTATTCCAGTCGGGTTGTATGGAGTGTTTGTACCCCATACGGACTAACCCACCGCAAACTATATCGATTCATGTCAATGCGCTTAGCTGTAAGGACAGCCGCCTTATTCGTTTAAAAGCAAGATACGCGTGTGATAAAAGCCTCAGTAACTCCTGTATGAACAGATAGATAGTGACTGTAGGCCTTTCATTTGCGCTTACATGTTTCTTTCTACGATTCTTTACGAAGCGGCAGTTGAATGTGCAGGCGCAACGACGGACGAATTGCTCAGAGAATTAGCTGGAATCCGACAACACACAATTGCTGCCTCAAGCACGTTGGGAAGATGACACTGTAAAGATGAATGTGTACACAAATATAAGTGGCCGGGGATTAAATGAGGTAAAGTTGGTGGCAACTCTGTGCGCTACTCAACGGTGCACAGTGTAATCTTCATGGAGATTTTGTGTATCAGTATTATAACTGTTCATCATGTGACAATTGAATAAATGAAAACCGTCGGCCAAACACACTCCGATATAAACAGGTTATAGAAGCATTTCAAATCCAGCGCCGTTCTTCCCTGGGTTCAGTTTAGTTGACTATAGAATATTTTCTCACGGCGCTCACTGGAAGAGGTTAAAGAAGCAATCTCCGACGAGCTCCATGCTCGAGGCCAACAGACGCCACAATGATATAAAATGGTAAGATCCATCAATAAAATTGTCAAGCAATAAGTTTACTGTTGAACGTCAAGCCAAAAACGACCATATCGTAAAGCTTTCAATCAAGCAGCTTAAAGCCCCACTGTAAAACCTTCTGTGTGCGAAGTATACCTTTTGCGATCAACTCAATGTGTTTTCTATTCGAAAGTGCATGACTGACCACTCATCTAGGTAGACAAAGATATATCAAGTTCATAGGTCGAAAATACGTTGGTAGATATTAGTAACCTATAGGTGCACTTCGTTTCATTAATCTAGCAACTTGGTCGGACTCAACAAATTTCAACTCCAACAATAGGTGAACACTTGCTTGTCCTAATCGTTGCAAAATATATAAGTTTTAGAATTAAATAGATCTACCCTAATCTTTCTGGGGGTGATCACAAAGTAGCAAAGATCTGCTTCAAAGGAATCGCCTACAACCACAACACATCCAACAACAGTATATGTTTTCATGACTAACACAATAGTAGTTGAAAAGAGTTTGCAATAAAATTGAGATCTCTAGACAGGGATAACTATTTCCTTCCCCCTAAGCCTCGACAAACAGATGACTTAATAGATAAAAATACAATCTTGTGTCAACATAGCTGCTCCCTGATGTGTCACAGGCGTAGTTCCTTCAAGATGCATCAGAACACTATCCCGTCGCAAATAACACGTAAGCTGAAAAACCACGATGTATACTTAGAAAGATAAACAGATTTGGTCTGCTAATCCAGAAAAATCAAATTATGTCCTCATTAGGAACAACTCAGTCCTTAAAACTTCTCACAGACGGGACAAATACCTTAGCCTTCAGCAATAAACCAAAGGAACTAGCCAGATTATTGCAGCCTTGAAGCAGCGTCAAGCATGACGTACCACTTTCCATTAGACTGCCTGACAACAGCCTTTCTGCAAACCCGGCTCAGATGTGCAAGGTTTTTAATGGATACTTTCCATAGTTTTTCACGAAGCTGTGCACATTACCAATGGTACGGATCCTTGCGAAAACCAAGGACTACACTAGTACTGAAGCATTTGAGCAATCGGACATAAAGACTCTGATAAACACAATGTGCTCGAGATTTTATCGTTGTCCAGATGGAATACCGTCTATTGTTCTCATATTCGGAAGCTCTGATGTCTCCATACTGCTTCAAACTATTTTACGTTATCCATGAAGTCAGTTGTTCCAGATGAGTGGAAACATGCTGGTTACACCAAGTACTCACGAGCTATCGACCATCGACCATACCTACATTCTGTGTAAAACGATGGAAAATGCAATGAATGCCAAAATCGTTGAAGTGCTATCGGCCCCGGAATTTGATCAATACTTCCTAGCACGCATTCCTGAGAAAAAGATCATGTATAACTTGCCAAGTACAACATAAAAGCTTCGTTACGCGTTCCATTGACTGTAACAAGTGCCTGATAATCATATTTCTTGATATCCTCACAGTGTTCGATCGGGTACCACATAGGAAGCTTTTATCTAAAGTATACTACTGTGGTATAACTAGCAATTTACAACCATGGATCTCATCATAACATACTGGTTGGTATCAGGCAGTCGAATTACTATACAATACATCCACAAGTGGAATAGTCACAGGTGGCGTGATCCAAGTAAGTGCTCTACAGCCTCACAACCACGATGCGTTTCGCTGTCATTTTATCTCATCAGGTGGAGATAGCAGTCCTCGAACCCACAAGCATTAGAATAGTAGCCGATACCTCTACCTCTTTGGCTAGCGGGTCACGACGTGCAACGCTTGGCACAGCGGTTAATGACTAATTGGAGGGGCCGTTTGGAGTATACATTGTGTAATTGGATAGCGACGCGCAATCTCAATGTAAACTGCGATTCACAGCGAAGTGAACCTTGGTCCCTGCGATCACTGGGACCGCAGCAGAAACATATGGAAATTGGGTGCTGTCCGCGCGAAAACACTGCAAAAGCACAACGAATTTCGATATTCTTGCGTCTCGTTAGCTGGAGATAGCAGATAGCGACCATTGGAATCGTAGCCGAAACCTTTACCCCATCTGCTTGGGATACGGTCGCGGTGATCGCAGTGGCCAAGGTTCAGTTCACTGTGAATCGCGGTCCACATTGCGATTGCGAGTCGCAATCCAAGCACACAGCGTGTAATCAAAAATAGCCCTCCAATTGTTCTACAGCTTTCTTTATTTTCGATGTACACGAGCGAGGTCATCGATGTCATCAAACGCAGCAAACTTTATGCATCCAATGAGGACATGAAAACAATTTATGATTTCTATCAGGACAATATATTTAACGTCACAACCGAAATACAAGCGGATCTGCACGAGCTGGAAACTTGTTTCAGCAACAGGAAAATCGAACGCTTCGTCAGAGAAGTACGGTTGCATATGCTATTCGTGCAATTTTGTACCAAAATCTTAGAGGCTAGACGGTAAAACACTGTCCACCTGTCTCACGATTCGTGATCTTTGACTACAATACTCGGGCTCTTTTGCTGTAGTACCGTGTTGCGAAAGTCCGTGAACTAAGAAGTCTAGTACTATAATCCTTTGTTTTGAGCAATCCAAAATATACCCGTATAAAACTGGTATTCGTCCCCTATTAGAATATTGCTCATTAATAAACTCCAATCCGAGAAAAAGTGACAGAACGGCAATAGAAAATATACTGTGTCCCTTTATAAAGCGCCTAAGGAGAAACTATCGTGATCTTTTTCACCCTGACTGATGCTTTGCGATGAGCATAGAACCCCTCTGGTTGGGGAGCCTAACTCTTAACCTGAGCTTCATATTTGATACCATCCACAAACGAATAGTAATCTCAAACATGAAGGTGGTACTACAACCTTTCCTTAAGTAAAATACGAAGAATAGACGTGACACGTTACCTATCGAAATAGTCAAGTCAATTCATTTCAATACAAGTAAATAGGCTTTATGAACACGACTGGGAACATTTTCAGCATTATTACGCTAGCACTGCGGATGTTGTGAGGCATAACATAGGCATGAACTTGCAACAAAAGCGTAAAAAGAAAAAAAAACCTGCATGCACATCACTTAAGTAACCGTTCACATGTGGTGTTAATAAGTATTTTCCTGTTCACCAGAAATACAGTAAGATAGAGTTGTGACGACGTGTTGTGCAAGGAAACAAAACCCTAAATTTAGAATGTGTAGAAGAGCAGGAGAGGACTATAGATAATTCAGCGTGAAAGGGGTGAAAAGGGTCAGTTAAAACATTTGCTGTAAACTTCTCACAAGCACTGAAGTGCTTAGTAATGATGAAATCGACCAGAGACTGTCTGGACAATCTACTACACTTGGAAATGAGCTTAATGGAACGCGAGATCAATGTGAATTCTTTTTGTTGAATACCAGGAAAAATGATGGGCGAGCAATCTAACCAATGGGGAAGCATACAGGCAATCACGAATTTATAAATTATAGAACAGCGTAGTAAACATTTTGAGTCTAAGGGCATAGAATGACAATTTCCGCACCTTGCGGAGCGTCTGGACAACATTCGTTGACCAAAATGGATTGTGATATAAACATGCATTACAAGATACTTAACAGTGGGTGAACTAGGTATATTTTAGTCACTTACGACCATGGGAGGAGAAGTGTTTGCTATAGTTAAACATTTTTCAGTATAGAGAAAAGATAAATTTACGTCGTGACATTTGGAAGCGGCAAGAGTAAGGTATAGGGAGGATGAACACTGCTGAAGCTTGTCCAGACCGATTTGCATAGTTTTTGAGTAGTCTGCAGTTGAAGCAATGCTACATAGGAGTACATCGTCAGCTTACTTACATCCAATAAGGTTGAGGGAATTGGACGTATTTCGATGTATGGAGAAAAGAAGAGGGGAGTGGATTGCTCCTTGTAGAATGTCCCAGCCATCACTAACAAGGTGGGACCTTTACCGTTTAGCTGAGATCGGTTTACGAAGTACTCGCTTATCCGGTTGCAAACCGCTGGTTGAACACCATTCACAGGCAGCTGGTTAAGCAAAATTGATCTGTCTACACTGTCCAAAGCGTTGGCGTAATCAATGAAGAGGGGCCACATATTCTCGCATTTCGCATCCAATGAAGATGTTATGGAGTAAGAAAGATATGCTACGGCATCCAACGTGGAATGTCGGGGTCTGTATGCAAACTGAGATACGCCCATAGCTGGAGAACTTGTTGAAATCCAAGGTACAAGTAGTCGTTCGAAAACTTTCAGCATGACGAATGTATAGGCGATCGGACGGAATTTCGTGGATTCCTTCTTTGGTACGGGCGTTATACTGATAGGCCTCCAAATATCGGGAATAATTCCAATGTGTAGGCACCGATTAAAAAGATCCGTCAAGAGCATGGCGAGGGTATTAGCACAATCTTTCAAGACAACTAGTGAAAGAGTATAGGGTCTACTAGCCTTTCTTGAGTTCAGATTCCTGAGCTCATGGTTGACTTCAACGTTTTGGAATGTAATTCATGGACCAGAGCTACAGAACAAATGCAGAGAGAATGAAGAGAATGAAGAATGGTGTTGGATGCTTCCTGTGATTAAGAAGATGATGATGATGATGGCTCGTTCAATTTTCCTTCTAAGTTGTTTGGGTGAAGGTGAGGAGAATCTATCGACTCGTAAGTAGATGGATTCAACGGGGCAGCAAAAATCGAAACAAAAGTTTAGATAATCAGTCAAGTGATCACACTGTACAGACAGATCTTCGTTGTTGGAAACATGACTTGACTTGCTCCACAAACGCCTATTAACCTCATACATTTAGATGGTACTACAACCTTCCCTTAAGTACAACATAATGAATAGACATGACATGTTACAAATCGAAAGAACTTCAACCTGATTAAGATCCACTTTTTAACCCCTCCGCAGTTATGTGAAACAAGTTGCCGAAACTCCGAGAACCGGTGACTCAAAGAGCGTATTTCATACTCTAGTTAACAGGGAATGGACAATGAGTAAAGTTAGGGGCGTGCTCAGCATAAACGTGAGTATGAGGAAAGACCGAGTGCTATATGGCAAATTACAAAACTCTGATTCGAAGTTCACTCATCTCTATCACATTTTCTTATTTACAAAAGTCTTTTCCGCACTTCTAACTATCTATTTTATCCGAAGATATCACTGAACAATTTACCTAGTGACAACATAAACCTGTCTAGAATACATCCTACACACCTCAGCTGTCTAATACGCTTGAACCAGTAAAAGATGGATTAGTAAACACTTTTCTCTTGAACGGCTTGAACGCAAACTCCTCTTGATGATTCAGTTGCAAATTTGATCGGATGAACCACGTGGGCCATGTCTTGCATCATGGTGATATAAACCGTCTTTGTTCACCTATGACTCACCTTCTTACATTTCTACTGTAAGGTTAAATAATTCTTCTTTCCCGTAGGCGACGGCCCAGGAACAAAGAGCAGACGTCATTACTCAGCGCTACTGATCTCCGTATTTTTGGAAAGCGTGTCAAAATTGGTAGACCTGAACATTTTTTCAGTACTGACATGCATACCGATGATTCGAGCAGTCATCCGCTTTCGACAATCTGATCGATCGGTCTTGCTTGAGCAGAAGCAGCACATGCTGTTTCTTTATTAAACAGCATTAATGTTAGTACCCAACCTCTTTAATTCATTGTTGATCACAACTGCGTCGATCTCCTGAGGTGACGGATTGAAGCTTCCATCGCTAACAAATATACTCATGCAAGGCTTACTGACATTAGTTCTTTAGCGTGAACAAAGTGTTTGACTCAAAAAACCGCTGGATGGTACCGGAGAGGTGGCCTAGCTTTCCACACTATACACACAGAAAAACAGCCTTAAATAGGAGTTACATAGGTGGTGACTTATCTGCTTGAAAAGTTACACCGGCACACAGCCAGATAGGGTCTGGAAGTGAAGGTGAAACCCATCGAGGGAATAACCCACATGGAAGCAGGTCCGATGGCTCGGCCACGTGTTACGCATGCCAGCCCACCGACTCCCGCGACGTGCGTTGTTTGCGCGCCGGCGGTGTGGATGGAAGAAGAGGAGGGGTGGCCAAACGATGACTTGGTCCAGAGTAATGAAGGCCCTCACTTCTGAGCTGGCCTCGGTTGGAGCGTCACGGCTCCCTGGTTGGGGTCCGAAAGACGATGAACACGTTTGGTTGGACACATTTGCTGACATGGCAAGGAGCCGACCTCAGTGGCGTTCGTGCTGTGAGTTTCTTTGTCCCAACCCATCCCTCTTAGCCTCCCCCTCCAACCACGATCTCATTATTTAGCCATATATAATTTTGCATAGCGATTTTTTTGATGCACAGTAGCCGGCTGGTAGCTTACCAGAACGATGCCCGTCCGTTACCGGTAGCTGAGCCGGCTTGTACCAGTTGCTTTTTTTCTCTCCTTTCTTCTATGTATTGCGGCACAGTAGCTGAGGTGTTCCCCACCTAGGGCTAACGTGTATGATGATGATGATGCTGCTGCTGCTGATGATGATGATAATGATAATGAAGAATCAGGTCACAAAGAGACGGTTCCATGGAGGGCCGTGTAACTTCACTAACACATTTTGATTTATGTACACGTACGGTTACGGACATCCACAACCGATGCGTCTTGCTACACCCAGTAACTACACGCGCCCAATCACATGACTATAGTGCATTCGATGATTGGTCTATTGTTTCTCTTTACTGCGTTTGGTCCTAGATGTTTTCACTTGGCTCCGATTAGGAGCGGATTACAGTTTTCACACGTACCATACGGTGTTGATGTTTTTTCCTACGTCTAAACGGACTACCGGTCCATACACGGATTAGGAATACACGATCGGTACGTAACACAATGGTGACGAGCAATAGGAATCCACTGGCGGGTCTCTCAGTTCTCTAACTGGAGGCGTAAAAATAGCCTTCTTTACAAGTATGGATTGGATGGAAAACTTCGTTCCCATATGAGATAAATCTTTTCCTGTGCTGAATGCTTCCATCACACCATCAGATACTCAATGGATTGGATTGTTCCGCGAGCACTTGGTTCCGGAGGACAAAGATATTTCGATGCAACGAACCTAATAGTTAAATCAGGGATCTCACAAATGATTCAGTTATTTGAGGAACTATGGGGAATTCAGCAGAGAGCGTTTTCCGCCCGATATCAGTTTCTGTAATTGCGGCAACAGCGTGGAGAAAGCGTAAACGATTGCAACACACGCATTCATCAAGCTACCCCAGAGTGTCGTTACAACACAATCCCGTCGACGAGTTTTGAAGAAGTAATGAAAATTCAGTGCCTGATCGCTGGAAGTATAGAGGATGGTATATATATATATATACATGTATATATATATATTCACATTCTGTTAACAGACATTGTGCTATCAGAATCATGGCAGAAGAAAAAAGTGGAGAAAATGGAAGCACGAACTGCGAGTTAAAAATGGGAAACAAATTTTTGGTTTCACACACGCCATTTTGAATGTTTTATTTTTTCATGAGTTGTTGTGTGTATTAAGGGGGGGATATGAAAGCAGAACAACATTGACGCCATTAATGTCTGTTGCGGGCCATGACGTCCAATGTTTCTAACTACAGAGATTCAGCCCATCCTGGTCCCAAACTTGGAAGAGGGACTGGTCCGACTATCGCCAAACTTGAGGTTGTCTTCTTCATGCTCCTTCTCCACGTCATTGGCTGTCCACCGCGGCACTTTTTCAATCGCTCCCTGGGAGTGCAAATAGCGCTCGACGTGGAAGGCGATGGGCTGGCATGCGCAAAACGTGCCCGAGCCAACGCATGCGATGTCGGAGAATAACGTCCTGAAGACTGGCACTACTCGCTCCAAGCACTCGGTCTCGCACCTCTGCGTTGCTTACGTGGTGTTGCCACCACACCCGAGCAATCCTTCGTAGACAGCGATTGTCGAAGACTGACAGCCGCTTCATGTCTTCCGAGCGAATAGGCCAAGTCTCACAGCCGTACAAGAGTACTGCACGGACGGAAGCATTGTACACCCTGCCCTTGAGCTTGAGACTGACATCACGACGACGCCATAGGTGTCTCAGTTTGATGAATGCAAGGCGGGCCTTTGCAATCCGTTGTGAGACTTCATCTCCAACACCGCCACCAGCCGTGATGCAACTCCCTAGATAAGTAAAGCAAGGGACTTGCTCCAGAACATGTCCAGCAATGGTGAGCGCGGGTTCAGGCACCTGCCAGTCCTGGAGCAGCGTTTTACATTTTCCCGGAGTGAAGCATAAGCCGTACTTAGACGCCTCCATCGCTAAGCGGTCCAAAGCGCTCTGGACGGTTTGTGGGTCGTCCCCCAGCAAGGCGATATCATCGGCGTAGTCCAAGTCCGTGACTCTGTCTCCAGGGAGGAGCTCAACACCGCAGTCCTGGACACCTTCCAGTGCTCTTTGGACAACATCTTCGATGGCGAAATTGAAGAGGAAAGGTGAAATAGGGCAACCTTGGCGAACACCGCTGGTCACAGCAAATGAAGAAGAGAGCGTGCCGTAAGCCCTGACTTTGCCCGACGTGTGACTGTAAAGTTCTTTCAGGATGGTTACAAACTTGTCGGGCACACCTTTCTTCAGTAAACAGTTCCACAACGCAGATCTATCTACTGAATCAAATGCCGCTCGGATGTCCAAAAACACTACGATTGTTGGCCGCCGGTGGATGTGACGAAGTTCGAGAAGTTGGCGAAGCGTGAAGATTTGGTCGATGCAGCCGCGGCCTGGACGAAATCCGGCTTGTTCTTCTCGGGAAAACTCCTCTCTAGTCGTTGAAAGCCTGCGAAGTAGGACCGACACGAAGATTTTGTATGCGACAGAGATTAACGAGATTCCGCGGTAGTTGCAGCAATCGTCGCGGGAGCCCTTCTTGTGAATCGGAACAATGACCGATTCTCTCCATGAGTTCGGAACCTTCTCCTCAGTCCAAACTTCCATGAACAGCGATAGGATTTCGTTGACAAGTACACTCCCGCCATCTTTGAATAGAGCCGGTGGTAGACTGTCCTGACCCGGAGCCTTGTGGGGTTTCAAAGATTGGATTGCATTTCGGATCTCTGCTTCATTTAGGGGGGAGGCTGTGGAGATAGGCCAAGCATCATCCATTGAGGCTGGTGGTGTCACAGAGGGGGCTGTGTTGGGTGGTTGAATTGAAGAGCGAAATGCTCTGCCCAGCGACCCAATCGCCTGTGAAGGTTGGTGATCTTCGTGCCGTCTGATTCGCAAATCGTCTGGCTGATAGCGTGGAAATTGCAACCGGTGACCCTGATGATGTAAAATAGACGGCGGAAGTTGCCAGCTGATGCAGCGGCTTCCATCTCATCAGCTTGTTTTGACCACCAAGATTCACGATCAGAGCGAAGGCTTGCTTTCAGCTGTTGCGTAATAGACCGGCGGTGTTCGTTGTACTCTGCGCCAGCAGGCACCGCCCGTCGGCGATCCAGCAATTCCGAGGATCTTCCCGAGATCCAGCTTTTGGGAGTGGAGCGAGCGAGGCCACAGCTGGACAAACCGGCCGACAGCAAGGCTTGTTGCAGACTTGACCAGCATTGATCAACATCCAGAGCAGCAGAGAGAGCGAGATTTTCGTGAAGCCTTTGATGATACTCCTTCTTTACCATTGGGTCCTCCAACTTGTAGGTGTTCAGTCGGGTGTGTTTTGACCTAGGCGAACCACCGAAACGCATGCAAATGGTCGCACATACCAGTGCATGATCGGTAACGACGCATGTTGACCAAAATGATCGGCAGTCGCGTACGCTGCCGCTCCACCTGCGACTTATAGCTATGTGGTCAATCTGTGACCAGCGCTGGCTTGATGATGGGGGCACTAAGTGGCGTACTGGCCTCCAGGATGTCGAAAACTCCTGCTGGAGAGGAAAAGCTGATAATCAGCAAACAGACTGAGCAGTCTCTCCCCGTTGTCTGAGCGAACAAAATCATATCCATGCGGTCCCCCGAGGTGGCGCTCACATGGCAGCAGACGACCGACACGCGCGTTGAAGTCTCCTGCCAAAACGATGATGTCTGTTTCAGGAGCCCTTAGGAGCAGCTCATGTAGGTTCTTATAGAACTGGTCTTTGGTGGTGTCCGAGCTACACTCAGTGGGCGCGTAGGCATAGCTCACGAAGAGAGCACGCTTTTCGACTCGACGTCTACTAACTTTACAAGAGCCATGGAGCCTCATCGCACAAAGGCGACTATTGATCGGAATCCAATCAATCAAAGCAGTCTCGGCTCTAGCACTGAGGGCGATTCCAACACCAGCTTGCCCAGATGCGGCAGACTCGGCGTCACCAGAGAGGCGGAGATGGAAGCGGGTGCGTGGGTGGAGCGGTGACACCAGCTGGTAGACCGAGTTAGAGTCCTGGAGTCGTGTTTCATTCAGGCAGCAGATATCAATTCCAAGGGTCTCTAGCGTGCGTGCAAGTCCAGCTTGCTGACCGATCTGCAGTAATGTGCGTACGTTGAAGGCTGCAAGTTTGAACTGCGTTCCGGGTTGCAGGAGCGAAGATGGGAGACTTTGGGACTGGCAGCTCTCTGTTGAGCACTGTGTGGTTGAGTTGGCAGATGTCACGGGAACAGGTTCATCGGTGTAGGTGGGGTTGATCGCCATAGAGGAATCAGGTAAAAATGGGTGTGAATGGTACAAGGGAAGGGTAGGTAAAATGGTGGCGTGTGCTTGTGAAGTTGGCATAGTAACATGAGTGAATAGCATCGTAGCAGCAAGAGAGCGGGTGAATGGTTGTGGTTGTAAGTCCATGGTTCGTCAGTGGGCGAGATACTACCCGGTTGCCCAGGCCGAAGTAGGGTTGTCTTAGGGGGCCCCACCCCGAGCCTTTGATCAAGGATCTAACCTACAAGGCAGCAGGGCGATATGAGGGTATCGCAACCCGTTGGGAGCCGGTGACCAAACAAGTGGTTCATACGCCTTTAGGACCGCATAGGACCAGGGGCCCAACACACCCTTGAATTACAATGCCACTCAGAGAGAGGCAAGGGGCAGTGACTTTATTTAGTGGCGAGTCACATCCGCCACGTCACAGTGTTGTTAAACGGACATATGTGGCTTTTATAGGGAGAACGCTTGCCAGGCGAAAACCCACCACGTCCTGGAACACTGCCGCCGAACCATTCGCTGGAACGGGATAATCCCGAACCACCCAGCTGGCACCACAAGGTTGTTCGGCAAGCCAAAAACTCGTTCTTGAAGAACAGCTTGCAAACTTGGTCGGCAGAGGGAACATTTGAAAAAATCAGTTGTCCACTTTTAACCGCGGCCAGTCTGCAGAAACTGTGAGCAAAGTAACTCGACCTTTTTCCTCTGAGAATATTGTGCAGAAATTTGTGAGCTACCGATGCAGTGATCAACACATTTCTCCCAACCTGTGCCGTCACTTGCATACGAAGTGCAGGAAGTGCGGTAAAGTTGACTAATTGTCTCGTGTGTGCCGTTCCCTACCATCACAAGTTTCGATTAAATCGCTGAACGAAAACCACGATGCGTCATTGGATTCACATTGAAACTTTATGAACCATGTATTTGTGAACTGGTCAAACGTGACCAAAACACTTCCGTATACGATCACGCTAGTTATTAATAGTCAGTCTGTTTTGTTTGAATTAGACACTGGCTCAGCAGTGGCATTAATAGAGCAGAATGCACTTTCACCATTACCTAATTTGGAACCAATTGATACAGCTTCCAAAATTTATACGGGAGAGGTCATAGACCCATTGGGAAAATGTCAGGTGTTAATTTGACATTAAGGGAGATCGCGTAACTTAATGCTTCATGTTGTTCCTCGTGCGTCGATTCATCTACTGGGGGTGATTGAATGAAACAGTTACCGCAGGTGCTTAGTGCAATCAACTCAGTGGGAGTGGAAACCGTAGACTTGGTCCTTAAGCGATACCAGAGGTATTTAACGAACACCAGTTGTGGAAGCATCAAAATTTTAAGGCCAAAATCCATAAGGCGGATGCTAGTTTGCCAAAACTCTTCAAGGCTAGAATAGTACCTTATTCTCTACGTCCAAACGTTGAGGGAGAATTGAAACGGCTCCAGCACGAAAGTACAATCGTTCCGGTTCAACAATCCGAATGGGCACCACCGATAGTCCCTGTGTTTAAGCCAGACGGCAGTGGGCGGATTTGCGGTGCTTACAAACCAACAGTGCATCGCTGCACTATCATGGACCGCTATCCCTTATTATTATTATTATTATTATTATTATTATTATTATTATTATTATTATTCAACACTTGACCAATGTACAATTGGTAGTGCCACAACACATAGTTAACAACAACAAAAAAGGGGGGAAATGGGTAGTCAGTGAAAGGATTTGGAAAGTTTAGAAGGCCGTGTTGTGTGGGCAGAGATCTTCCCGGTTGCCCAGGCCGAGGAAGAGGGTTGACTTAAGGGACCCCACCCCGAGCCTTTGGTCTTAAGACCTAACCCGCAAGGCAGCGGGGCGATTAACGAAGACCGTTGACATCCGGGTGGCTCCTTCGCCTTCTTTGTGTTCAGTAGCAGTCCACAGAGAAGCCGGTGGCCAGCAAGGTTGTTCATCCGCTCTCCGTTATATACTCACCTCTGGTTACAGAAGTGAGTGGTCAGTGACCCTATAGCCGGTCACATTGGCTTTGACACAGCGCCGTACGAGCTCTTGTGGTATTTGATGGAGAACCAGGTGACCAGCCCAGAACTCCCCACGCTCTGAGACGCTGCCGCTGATTGTCCGCGACTGCTTATTCATCTCGCCTGCAAGGCAAACGAGACTTATTCGCAGTTACCTCCACAAGGAAGGCATTCCCCAATCCGCAACCTGGGGACGCGCCCGATAGCGTACAGCTCCGCCACGGGGTTGCTATCCCTTACCAACAATTATAGATTTATATGCCTTTTTATCTGGTGGCGGTCAAGTTCACTAAAGTTGATTTAGGTCACGCTTACTGGAATTGGACGACGATTCTCGTCCATTTACTGCGATCAGCACACATTTAGGTCTATTTGAACTGGCTAGACTTCTATTTGGAATTAACTCTGGCCCAGGGATTTTCCATAAGAAAATCGACAACGTCGTACGGGATATACCGAATACCTGTGCACATGTTGACGACCTACCAATCACGGGTCAGACAGAAGTAGATCATCTGCGCACTCTGCATACGGCCTTATACAGACTGTCCGAAAACGGGTTGCGTTTGAAGAGTTCCAAATAAATAAATAAATAAATAAATGGTATATTCCTCGGTGATTCGAGGTGCAGTCCAACTATGTGGTCTGATCAATGTGTACAACAGGATCGCAAAAAATAATCAATTTGTTCACGCTTTTTACAATGGATCCAAAACAGGTATTAAAGTAATTGGCAGGATTAAGGTATTAAAGAAATTAAAAAAACCAGGAACAATAACATATGCAGATTTAAACAGATGTCCAGTTAAAGTAATACGGCCACTCGTGGAACCGTCCCCAGGGGACCTGCTTCCATGCAAGGTATTCCCTCGAAAGGTTTCGCCCGCACTTCCATGCTATACCTGGCCGCGTGCCGGTGTGGCATAGTAGCATATGAGCCATCACCTGTTTATCATATGTTGTGTTCTTTTTAGGGCTGCTTTTATACATGTATTATGAGCGATGAAGCCTCAGCCCAGTCCGTCATGCGGATCATTCAATTATGGCACTTTTTATACGCCAGTCAATTTGTGGCAATGTGCCTTGCATAGGTAAAGTCTTTTATAATCTGGAAGCTATAATCCGTCACCACAGGAGATCAGCCCAGTCGTGGCCAACAATGAAATAAGGAAGAATGTAGAAAAGAAGAATTATGTGAAAGAGGTACTATATCGTTAATGTAAAAAATAGGCAGGTATGTTTTTTACATCAGCGTAAAAATGGATCGAGCCGATCATACGATCAAATTGTGTGGCGTGACAGCCGGAGACAGATAACTGTACGAGTTGTCCATAGGCAAAAGTCACATAGGGAATCCGTTATTGCCATCACTGAATTCAAGTATATGTTTCTGGACTGTTAACTTCAGAAAAGAAGGGGAAATGATTAGCACTGCAGAACAAATGTAGCGAAGGGGATCGCAGAACAATATTACGAATTAATCAATTTGTGGGGAAATTACGAAAATAGTTCCTGACGCCACACCAGTAAATAATTTTGCTCTCGGTTTTAAACAGAAGACAGTTGGTATGAATTAAGTTTGAAAGGAGTAAAACCGCATAGGAGGTAGCATTAAAGAATAGCATAAGAAGCGGTTTGTAGCAGCTCATCCTAGATGATCATGTTTTCTCTGGTGCATTCGAGTCGATGTTCTCCGGTATCATACATGATCCGGCCCTTCTTCATACAGCTTTTCATCATCAAGTTGAATTTTTAAGATCCATTTCACTCTGTCCGTTGACAGATAAACCTTTATCATTTTCTTGAACATGCAAAAATGTTCAATACATCTAATCTCTTTTGGCAGCTTATTCCATATGGAGCCATACCTAAGAAGGTAGAAATTTCTCCTTAGGCTGGTCTTGAATTTAGGTAAATAGAATATACATTCACTATCTCGCAGTTCATAACTGGTATTTTCCCGAAAGTGCAATTGATAGGTTCCAACATATGCTTTCCGCCACGCGAGTTTGTGGAGGAAGCACAGATTTAATTGCATTCTTCGTAACCACAGAGGTTCAAGATTCAACTGCTTGCACCTATCTCTGTATGAAAGAGCGGTTGAATAGCCAAATATGCGCTTCGTAAAGGCGCGTTGGACGTTTTCAATGGCTCTCAAGTCACCCTTTCGCAAGTTACTGAACGTAACACAGCAATATTCAAGCAAAGGCCTGATACTGATTTTGAAAGCAATTAGTCTGGTTTCTTTCAAGGTTAGCAGGTGGCATATGAGCCCGACCGACTGCTTAGCCTTTTTCACGATATGATTTGTATGTTCGCTAAAGTTTAACGAACTAGAATATCTTAAACCTAAGTCACGAACAGACTGGCTGATGGGAATGACTTCGTCATGAAGCCTGAACACTTCTGCTGCTATCTGACATCCATACGCTAGAATACTACACTTCGATGTTGCAAACGTCATCTGCCACATATCAGCCCATCTCTCAATGGCTTTCAAGTCGCTTTGGATATTGTTAAGTTCAGCGGTACGCTGAGAACCTGGGAACGTGTAAACCACCTTTAAATCATCAGCAAACAAATAAGGCTTCCCAAATTGTATAACAGAAACGAGGTCATTTATATACAGTAGGAAGAGTAACGGACCTAAGACACTGCCCTGTACCACTCCACTGGTGACCAGACGAGGTGAAGAGATGTAACCATTGATATCCACAACTTGCGACCGTCCTACTAGGTACGATTGGATCCAAGAGTTAAGCGGATTTGTAACACCGTACTTACTTAATTTATATAGCAGCTTTTTGTGTGGGACTCTGTCAAACGCCTTTTGCATGTCGAGGAAGATGACAATGCACTGAAGACCTGAGTCAATTGCTTCAGTTAGATGGTTAAGGAAGTCAACTTGACAGGTAACACACGAGCGGGACTTCAGAAAGCCATGCTGTGAAGGTGAGAGAAGTTTGTGCGATATTAGGAACGAAACCAAATGTTCCTTAACAATTCTCTCTAGCATGCGTGAGAGAATGGCTGTGTGACTAATGGGGCGGTAGTTCCGGATGTCAGTTTTCGACCCGGACTTATGTCGCGGTATAACCGTAGCCGTTTTCCAACGTTCGGGATATTGACCAGACTGGAGAGACAAAGAGAAGATATTTAATAATATAAGAGGGATATCATCTCCACCGTGTTTGACTAAAGCAGAAGAGATCCCATCGGGGCCAGGTCTGTAGGATGGTCGTAGACAGGTAATCATACGTTTTATCGTAGCGACACTAAGCTCGATCGCTGAGACTTGTTCAGAGAAGTGAAACGAGGTTGACAATTCCAGGGTTTCTTTTTCAAGATTAAAGGATCTAGCAAAGTATGAGTTAAAGGCTTCTGCCATGGCAATTGGGGAATCAATGCATTCGCCTTCAGGCATGACGATGTGGGAGGGTAGGTCAGTTTTGCCGCCTCTCCTTTTTCTCAGTAATGCAGTCACCAGTTGACTTGTATTACTACTATTTACAGCCCGTTGTTCTTCCTGCATGAGACGGGTGTGGTGTTTCATGTCCGTCTCTATTATAAGGCGTTGGAGTCTCAGTAATACGCTGAAGTCGTGAGTACGTTCATATGTTCGAGTTAGCACTCGTATTTTCCGCTTGTCCTTTGCGTTGTTAGCGTACTTAGAAGAGGCTCTCGTATTATCACGGGAGGCAAGTATGCTTAAGCATATAGTCACATTGTCATAGAAGATGTCAGAGGCTCCCTTAATGTCAGACGAAAGAAAGAAATGGTCCCAATTTTGGACCCTAAGCAAAGCGGAGAAATCTACCCAATTAACATTTCGCAGGAAGTGTGGAACCACCGCAGACCTCACATGCGACGACTCAGCTATAATTTTACATCCGACTATTTTGTGATCACATCCAGGGAGACCGTCAATTACATCAGTAGCTATCTGGGAGGTGCCTGAGGTAAAAAGTAGGTCTAGTATATTTTTCCCCTGGTAGCCACGAGAACATGTTGCTCCCAACCACCAGTGATGACGGAGGTTATGAACTCAGCATGTTTCGCGTTTGTTACTAAGTTTGACCAACAGATATCTGGTAGGTTGAAATCTCCACCTACAACTTTATCAAAAGAACCAAGTTCCGATATGTAATTGAAGATGTCAACCAACTGGTTCTCATCACTGAAGCTGGCCCCGGGTGAGCGGTATATACAGCCTACAAGAGTTCGCTTAGTACCGAAGGACAAGAGTAACCAAGCGGAATCAATAGTGGGGCATATAAGTGGAAGTGTGAATTCAGACACAAGGAGGTTCTGTGAGTAGTAAATTATGCAACCACCTCCTCTGCCTTGCTTTCGATCACTTCTAATAAGCTTGTAACCTTCGATAGAAAGCAGCTGGCTGGGCATAGAATCATGACACCAGGTTTCAGTGAGTAAAATCATATCAGGTTTATTCAGACTTATGAAGGTGCGGAGTAAATGAAGTTTATTCAACAGAGAACGGATATTAATTATCATCAGTCTTAAAAAGTCCTGGCGCTGTTCATCATTCCACCCAGTATTTACTCTTGCAATCACATTAGTTCTAGAGCCTTCCGCAGCAAATCCCTTACCGTGAGATTCGCCAGTCCTATCGGGATTAGAGGGGGTGGGGGAATGCAAAAAGAATGCTGTGGTAATTTGGGGCGATTGAGTTTAAGTGGATAGGGTGTTATTGCCGAAGGGCTCGCAGAAGGCATTGTGAGAGGAGGAGGCGGAAGAGAGTATGGATAGGGGCATAAATAAGTGGTCTGTGTTTCAGCAAAGCCATGTACAGGTCTGCCAGGAGAACAGCCTTGGCACATCGCCGGAACAATGGGGAATTGTGGCTTGCCACTCTGTGCAGCAGCATTATTATTCACGACTGTCATTGGGACACGGGGAGTCACCTTTCCAGCACGAAGGCCCCTGTTTGATCTAAGACGCTTAGGGCGCGGACCATGACCACTGCTGCTATGTGTAGTCATAATGTCAATGGGCCGTAATGTACCTTCACTGGAGCTATCGATAGTCCCATTTGATGTTTTTGGACTTGTATCTGTTTCAATAGTGGTGTGGGGATTGATCCCAATCCCTACTGGTTTGTCAGAACGTGGTGCATCGAGTGAATCTACACTATTTCCTATGTCCACAAGACTAATGTGGTGTGGAGGCGTGAGCATCTCAATTTCCGCTACGCTGTCGCCAGCCTTAGCATCGCTTGTGTGGAGAGTGGCCTTGCTAACATTATCTGCGTTTTTAGAAGGGGAGAACCAAACACTGTTGAATGACCTCCTTCTTGGCACTCCAGGAAGCGCGCAGGGGGATGACTCTGCTTCGGCTCAGGCGAGACATTAGTTGCACTCATGCGTTGAAGCTCACGTTGCAAAGGTGACCTGTCTTCGAATAGAATAACTTTGCAAAATTTCGGAACAGATCTTAAAGTATTTTGACTTTTGATAAACGAACTTGCGAGACTTTCGCTACGAAAGCTGAACAGAGTCGGACAAGGAAAACGTAAAGATTTTTTCCTCAATCTTCTACAACTAATATCGGTCTCAGCGATGTTGCACGCCCTCGAAACAGTATGCCTAATGTTGTCAATCGCGATATTGTCAGCTATGTTGAGGGCGATGGCGTTTTTTCCCCTTCTGCATCTTTGGATAACCTCAGAGGCGACTGCATTTAGGAAGTTTAATGCTCCAATTTTGTGCTTTTGCGCTGGATTAGCCGGAGACTGAATTATGTATGAAACTGACATAAGGATATCTCCGAATGAGTCAAACAACTTTAGTTTCTCATTTTGTTCCGCTAACTGTTTCTCCAACATCTTTATTTTGGCTGACAGTGGAGATATAAGGTCGACAACACTAACTGAACTCTCTGTCATTTGTCTTTTGGACTTATTTACCTGCTCTTGTATCCCAGGCGGCTCGGAATGTGTGCAACAGGGCACAGGTTCCTCGGCACTCGTGACCGCAACGTTATTTACCGTGATTATTCGGTTTTCCGCACTCTTTTTCCTCATTGCACGAGTGTTAATGGCAGTCATCTATCTTTTAAATGGGAAGATAAAAGCTATCTAGTATATGCTATAGCCAAGCGTGAATTCTGGGGTAACAAAGGTCGTTAAGGTCCAGTGACTTACCTATTCAAGTCAACAAACAGGCCACTGTTTCAGATGCAACCAACGATACAAACCAACCGGATGTAAGAGCGCTCAGTTGTCCAAATTCCGCCAAGGGTAGATTGTCCTTCAGTAATCGACCGCTCTGAGGTCAACTTCGTGGAGTGCCGCGTCACGTGGATTCCGTTGATTATCTTGAATATCGACCATATAAAAATGGATTTCAGCAATCAAAGGACAAGCTGGGGCTCATCATTATCGTATCCAGTCCATGAAACAAACCACAGTTACGTTCGTTGGAATGCTTTCACAACACCGTCGTTTCTTAAATAACCTGGCCTCTGTAAACGCACCAGTTCATGATTTGCTTAAGAAGGATGCCAAGTGGTCATGGATAATGAAAAAAGAAAAAACATTTTTAAAAACGAAAAATCTACTTGTTTTATCACATGTACTCGAAAATTTTGATATAAGCAAACCTCTCGTCTTAAAATGTGATGCGTCAACGTTTGGAGTGGGAGCAGTCCAAGAATATCAGATTCACGATGGAACCATCCGTCCTATTGCTATCGCGTTTCGAACAATACAGGCAGCTGAGAAGAAGTACGCACAGAGACTATATAAAAATGGAATACAACAATGAAAGAACAAGCTGGGGTCCATCATTAGCGTACCCAGTCCATAAAACAAGCCACAGTTGCGTTCATTCGTTGGAATGTTTCACATTACCGTCGTTTCTTATCTAACCTGGCCCCGGTAATCGCACCAGTTCTTGATTTGCTTAAGAAAGATGCCAAGTGGTCATAGACAATGAAGAAGAAAAAACTTTTCTAAAAACGAAGTGTATACTTGTTTCATCCCCAGTGCTAGGACATTATGAGATAACCAAATCTCTCGTCTTACAATGTGATGCCTCAACGTTTGGAGTGGGAGCAGTCCAAGTATATCAGATTCACGATGGAACCATCCGTCCTATTGCTATCGCATTTCGAACAATACAGGCAGCTGAGAAGAAGTACGCACAGACAAACAAAGAGGAACTGGCCGTGATATTTGGAATGAGACGCATCAAGCAATACTTGTGCGGCAATCGGTTTGAGGTACAGCCAGACCATAAACCACTGCATTCCCTGATTGCTGAGAAACAAGGGAAAAAAGCATATCAATGAAACAATAAGATGACTTGTAAAAAATCAGGTGCATAAGCGAATTGTGTTCCCACAACTAAGCTGTTTGGTTGCAGACGTTACGTTGCCAAACTACGCAACATCCTCAGTGAGGCTATAGTGGTATGATTTACAATCCCGTAAGCGACTGCCAGATCCAAGTGACTACTGATCGTCTACTGCTTTGAATGTATCTTCCATTGGATCACGTGGGTCGAACAAGAGGCTACGTCTACGTCCTGCCAATCTGGTACTTATATTTGGTCTCACCTGCAGAGCTTCGTAGACCCCTTCGAATTCTAGATGTTTGTTGATTGAGTTCTGGCCCAAATGCAAAGCCTCGAGGAACTCACGCGCTCTGCGGTTCTTTGCTCTTCTAAGTATCTTGGCATTCCCCAGGTCGAACTGATGGCCTTCGGCATCCATATGTACTGACATTAGTGATTTTTCATCATGGCTGCGGATGGCCAGACTGTGCTCGCGCAGCGTTGTGCCGAGTTTCCTCCCTTAATGGCCTACGTAGTATTTAACACATTTTTGCATAAAACTTTGTAAACCACACCTGATGTTTCTTCTCTACACAGTTGATCTTTTGCCGTGAAAAGTTCACTCCGAATAGGTTCCGTTGCTTAATGTGCAACCTTGATCCGTGAGCCATTAATAACCACGATGCTAGCTCAGAAATCCCATGGATGTAGGAGAGAACGAATGTTTTCCTTTCCATGGCTCTTGCGGAAGCGGGCGGTGGTTGATTTATCGACTTTAAGTAGCGTAGAGTAAAACGTTTATGGTACGAATTCCTCTGGAACATGTTAAATAGGTGGTCTTCCTCCGCTTTCCTCAACTGCAGCGTGCTACAGTGTGTTTGGACCCGTTTGAATAGTGTCCTCACGCAACTGCGCTTGTAATTGGCCGGATGGTTACTGCGATAATTTAAGACCTGATCAGTGTGCGTCGTTTTTCGATATACAGTTGTTTCCAAGGCACCGAAAGCACGTCCTTTCACGGGCACGTCTAAGAATAGCAGTTGGTCGTTGTTCTCATCCTCTTTGGTGAAATGGATGCCGGGGAAAATGTTATTGATCAGATGGTGTGTTTCTTGAACTCTGGAATTTTTGAGGATGACAAAAGTATCGTGCACGTAACGTACCCAAAGTTTGGGTCCTACCATCGGCAGGGCCTTTTGTTCCAGTGTTTGCATCGCTGACTCGGCCACCAGTCCAGAGATTGGTGAACCCAGTGGCG